TTGCAGCACTTGTCACATGATGATTTCAATGGGTAATCAATGTAAAAATATTCATGAGATGCTTTACTTTCTTTTTCATGCTAAGTCTATAAAATCCAGTGTGTCTATGACACTTGCAGCACTTGTCAGTTTGGACCAGCCCATTTCAAGCACCACTTGCCACACGTGCTGGACAGCTTGCGGTCTAGCACACCCATTTCCCCATGTGCAAAATGTCAACTTGACACCTACCTCACAGCCCTGGGTGAGGATGGCGCCAGACCACACAATGCAATATGCTGTCCATGTTTGGTGCTCAGAGAACAGCAGACCCCCTTAGTTCTTCTATTCACCTCGAGTTAAATATGTCAGTTATTGTTGGCTATGATTTCAGATTTGCTGAATATTCCTATTCTTTCCATTAGGGGGGTGGAATAGATCACTGCACAAGTATGTCTCACGTGCACATCACACCAGCAAGCACAGAACTACTGTCAGGCCACCGCTTTGATTTCCTTTAAACAATACTTCGGAGCTGGTCCTACATACGAGGCTCTGTCCCAGGCACTGGGCTACCACAAGAAACAGACTTTGCCCTCATGAAGCTTACATTCTTGTACGTGAAGACACTCACTCTAGGCAGTTCAACTAACACATATGTAAAGCGGCAGATGGCAGCCAGTGAGCACACTCTGTTGTGTCATTGTCTGCCACTTTCCTGCTGCTCAAGTAGACAAGAGCTTCTCCAGAAAAATGAGAATTCCGTTGAGCTGATACATCCTGGGCACCTGGTGTATGACCTAGCACAGAGGAATCATTTAACGTGTGGTTGTTGAACATGAATATGTGAATGAATGAATGAATGAACTGATTGAACTGAATGAATGTTTACTACAATGCACGGTTGCTGAGTGAATGAATGAACAGATCTGATTGAATCTAAGTCTGCTACAATACCCAGCTGTTGAATGAATGAATGCATGGATGGATGGATGGGTTGGATTGAATCGAATGAGTATTACATTAAAAAAAAAGACCATATTGTCAGCCTATGATTTCCCAGGTTACCCATATGAAACCCCTTCTCAGAATAGTTCCTATTCAGGCTGCAAAGTCACCCACAGGCATATTCTGTGTGCCAAGGGATTGCTGGTGTTTGGATTTGTGACGCTCCTTGAGTCACTCTTGCTAGATGCTTTTCAATACGTTACTGTCAGCTCTTTCATTTTGTTTTGCTTTGTTTCTAATTGAAACGATTGTAAGGGGATTTTGTTTCGTTTGTCACCGGAATAAATGAGGCCCTCTTGATCTCACAGCTGTATTTACAGAAACTGATTCCCCTCAGACGCTGAGCATTAACTTAAATCTTACTTCTGTTCCGAGAAGCCTGACTGTAGAAAATTCATGAGTTTCTCTTGATGTTAGCATAGTAGACGTGTGTCCTGGGCTGCCCACATCTGTTTCCCTTTCTCTGGTAACAGCCCCCAATTTCCTTTTACGTATCAAGCCCCTTTCCTTGAAGGAGTGGGGATGGTAACAAACTTCACTCCCAAATGCTAGGCAAGATCATGTGGTTTAGGCCAAAAACGTTCAATCTATTTCCACTCCTAAACGGTCCCATGACCTATCCTAGTCCAATCAGACTGGACCCCAGGCCTGCTGGGCAACTGTCTCCATCTCCTCCCTTCTGGGTTTGCCGGCCCACGTGGCTCTGAGGTTCACTGCGCAGTGGCTTGTGCTGCCGTACTCAGTTTGCACTTCCACATGCATTCCCTTCTGCTCTGCCCTGCTCCCAGCCCCAGGAGGCTGGCTGCTATGACCACATCACCTGGACTCCTTTGCTGGCTGCTGTCACACGGGGTCAGGATAACAGGAGGCAGTAGCCCAACGGGGGCGTTGGGGAGGGACTTGTGTCTTGCTCCCTCTCTGTCTGCGTGCCATGCTCTGGAAGTAGCTGTGTGCCTCCATGCCTTAGGGTCCTGAAAGGCAGCTCGATCTCAGCCCTTATGGGGCTCCAGTAACTCTCTTCCTTCCCTTCCATCATCTGGCGTCTCCCTTTGCTAGTTCCTGTGTGCCTCAGTATCCCTCGTTGATCTCACCCTTCTCTAAACAGAAGCTTCATGCACATCTCTTCACCAAAACCTGTTTACTGCTGGGACCCTGACACATGAGTCTGCCAAGAACAGAGTTAATACCAAGACACAGGAACCTGGAAATGGAGAGAGTGGAGCAGGTCCTGGTTTCATTATTGAAGGCCGTCTCACCCCCTGCCTTTTCAATCACGTGCAATAATAAATTTGCTTTCTTCTTCAAGCCAATTTGAGTGGGGTTCTCCCTTGTCCATCTAAAGCTTTGTCCCTGGTGCAGAACCAAGGTCAATGACGGTGAATCCTGTGCACTGGAGGTACAGCAGGGAGAGGCCAGCGTGGAGGCTGAGGGCCTGGATTCTGTTCCCCTGGTGCAGAACCAAGGTCAATGACGGTGAATCCTGTGCACTGGAGGTACAGCAGGGAGAGGGCAGCGTGGAGGCTGAGGGCCTGGATTCTGTTCCCATCCCTGCCACCATATTAATGGTGCTGCATATGCCGGGGACTTGACCTCTCTGGGGTTGTCTCTGCCATTCTCAGAGCTGTCCCTTGGGCATAAGGGAACTTCAAAGTCTAGATTCAGCCCTGCTGAGATCCAGAACCAACCTGATCCAAGGCTGACAGGATGGCAAAATACCAGTGGGTGGGGTGCACTCTTCCTTCCCAGGGCCCCGTGTCAAGGTGTTCTGGGATGACAGCTAGGAGTTCTTCATCCCTGAGCTACCACATTGGATTTCTGCCTCTTGGGTGGGGCTGTGACCACATGTTCAGCTCTTATCATCCCATATTTCTGGCCTGGGTGCACCCAGATCCGTCCCTTAGCCCCGGCCCTGCCTAGGCTGTCTTCTCTAGCTTCCTCCACTTTCCCAGCCTGGCCCACCCCTCTCCAGCCCCTGCTCAGGAGCTAGCATGCCTTGGGCTGTGCCTTCCAGGACCTGGATCTCAGCATCTGAGTGCCCTTGGCTATAAAAAGGAGATAATCTTTACCACATGAGATTGCAATGAGGGTCAAATGAAGCCACTTACGGAAAGTCCACGGCCAATGCCTGTTGTTGAGTAAATACCTCCACTTAGCCCTATGGGCATCTATGTCCTCATCTGTAAAATGGACCTGCTCATCAGTGCTCAATCTCTCCTGAAACGCAGTTCTCTGAATTTCTCCAGCAGTCTTATAAAGGGCCTCCCTTTTTCGTGCTGTCCAGCTCGCATTCCATTCTCCACTCAGATCTGACCATGTCATACCACTGTTTTATGCCATGTCATAAAACCCTCCAGTGTCCTCACCTTAGCACACAAGGCCCTCCTTTACAGAGACTCTGACAATCTGACAAAGCTCAACAACCTCCATCCCCTTCTTTACCCCAGCCACAAGGGTCTATTACTGAACAGTTCCCTGACTGTGCCATGGCATCGTTCAAACCCATGCCACGTCGTCTCAATCTTATGTAGCTCATGCTGGTCCTTCTAAACAGCCTCAGCACCGTCTCCACCAGGAAGCCCACTGTCATTCTCAGCACCACCACCCACCACAATCCCCCGAGGACCCGACCCACAAGACCCAGCCTGTATCTTCTTTAAAGTTTACCGCACAGTATGGCATTCCTTTTATGTGTCTCTCTTTCCTTCTATACTGTGAGCACCCTGAGGGCAGGGGCTGTGTCTTATCTTTTTTCTATAGCCCCAGAAATCAGCACAAGGCCACACAAAAAGTAAATCCCCAATAAGAGTCTATTGAACAAATAAGAATAACGAAGACAACAGAGAAAAAAACTCATATCGTGATAAAGAAACCTAGAGCCACCCCAGTTTCTGAAATGGTTTAGCTGTTTTCTCACTCAGCTGCATGCCAGGCACATCCCCTGGGACCAAGCCCATGCCTGCCCTGTGAAGACACACCCAGCTGCTCCCACTACCAGCCCCTTCCACCACTGCACCAGCCCCCAAAGGTCTTCCCTGAGCCTAGTAGATGTGGGACCCACAGTTTCCCTGCCAGGGCTTGCTCAGTCTCCTGCAATAGTCAGCAGGACAGACTCTGCTCCCAGACCCCACCAGCCCCAAAGAACAGCCCCTGCTGATGCTGGAGGAGAAAGTAATCCAGCACCCGTTGTGACCCAAGAGAGACAAACATCACCCCAAGTGCAGAGGTAGAAGCTGGATACAGGTTGGAGCATGAGAAACTCACCCCATCCTTCCCATCCTGGGATGGAGGCTGTCCTCAGAATGACCCCCTTTAACATCCTGGAGGTCAAGTTTCCAGGTCGGAGCCCCAGGGGCCATGGGCTCTCTGTCTGCCCCCACTGCCCCTTCCCCCATCCCCAGCCACAATCAACAGACTCCAGACAAATATGTTAGAGACCTCAGTTATCTCAGAGGGCACCAGGTCAACAGCACTTGGTCACTGGGAATAAGCAGTCCAGACCTTCTCCAAATGGCTGACTCTGGGTTGCAGGGTGCAGCTCACAGAGCATGTCTGTGCCCATTTTCCTACATGACCTCTCCTGACGCCCCCCAGGAGACCCTGCTGCAGGCCAGAGCCTCAGTGAGGGCTTGGCATGCATTGTCTCTAACTTCAGCACCTCTGTGCAGTGGGGAGACTATTCTATCTCAGAGATAAGACTTTCAGCCACCAAGCATCTCACAGGTGGGGTGAGGGTTTAGAACCCAGCCTTCCTTAATCTCAAAGCTGTGTCTGCTCTGCCTCTGGAAGGGAGAGGACGAAAAATGCTCCTTAATCATAGGCACCTGCTGGGTGGGGTGTGTTACCAGGTTCACCCTGTAACTGAACCTAGGGACGGTGGGCTCCCCCGGCCTCTGCACCGGCTACTTGCACGAGCCCGGGCCTCCCTGGCCCCGGCTGCATCACTGCCATCTGCGCAGGGCCCCTCCTGTTGCGCGGCAGGTGGCAGAGAGCCCTGCTGGGGCCCCCGGACTCACTCTCACACAGGCGGCGCCGCAGCTTGCCCCGGATCTTGTCGATGGCGTTGAAGTCGGACACGTGGAAGACATGGGCGGACTTGGGCTCCGAGGCGATCTCCTCCAGCTCCTCCTTCAGGGCCTTGCCCACGCCCACGGCGAAGATGCGGATGCCCGCCCGGTGGGCGGCCGCCGCGGCGTCCAGCACCAGGTCCTGGCTCCGGCCGTCGGTCAGGAGGATGGCCACCTGCTTAAAGGCGCGGTCCCCGGGGCGGCCACCGGCCC